AATCTCAGGGAAAGAATCAAGCTAGACGTCAATTGCTGCAAGATACGGCTTCCACAGATGTAGACTCCTCTGGACATGACGGCCTATATACGTTCTCAAGTCAATGCTGGACACAAATTACAAGCTGGCAATCCCCCTCCATCCTTCTCCCCGGAGGGACTTGTGAGATGGGCTAGTGTTTCGATATATATATATATATATATATTATTATTAGTATTATTATTATTAGTATTATTATTATTAGTAGTATTATTATTATGAAGGCACACAGCATGCTGGCAGCTGCGGGAGACCCGTGCTGCTCAGCTATGTGATGTGAAGCGTGTGCAGCAGAAGTGTGTTTCAGCCTTCAACTCAAGCAGCAAGAAAGGGGCAAGACGGGTGCCTCGAATGTCTTAGCAGAGACGGGTTTTTGCTGTTAGCCAACATCTCGTTCACATGTCTGGCTGATCAAACGCCCAGGCAATGTCACAAACCCTCGGTCGCTATTGCCCCGTTCCCGTAACGGAAGGTGGTGCTTTCGCAAGATGATTCACAGGTGCTGGCATTTGCTTGCGTGTTCGAGCGAGTTGTATCCTTGGCTGACCAAGACAGATACGTGTAGCTAGGAGCATAGGGGGTGCTTTTGTTGGCTCATGCTGTCGCGCCTCTGAAGGCCAAGAGTTGCAAGAAGGAGCAGCTGCCGGGGCCGGGGGTGAGTTGTTCTTTATCCTTTGGAGTGGGTCTTATTACTGTAACTATAATAAGGAACCCCTACAAAAATAGTGTAGGTAATTATTAAGGCCCCTAGAATCTGGCATCTTCCGAGAGTGGCTTAGCTGCTTTGTCAGGTTCTGATGATGAAGAGAGACGTGTGCAGGTTGCGATGAAGCTTAGTGGTGGGGTTTAGTTTTTAGTCCGGGTTGAGGCTGTGGTTATGTCTCTGAGCAATGCTGAACGCACGCCAGAATTACGCTCGCCGCAAACCGCAGATGCTCCTTGTATCCATCAGAGTTGTGGTTGGGCATGACTTTGTACACTTAAAAATGTGTTCTATCTTGTTGTCGTGGGGATCGGGGAATTGAGATAGCTTCACCTGCTTCGCTGCGACTTCGCTTGACCAACATGGTTTGGCACGTTCACGAAATTTTCTTTCTCGAGAATTCCAGACCTGAATTATTAAATAGTTTGGTCTTTCCACACTGAAGTAGTGTTGTAGATGCTGTGCATTCTACGGTTGAGCGTAGTTCACTCTTCTTTGTGTCGATCTTATAGGGCCGACGCATCGGTTTCCTACACGCTGCGCAGAGAGACTCCCGTCGCTCGGAGCAGCAGAGGACGTGGCCGCACGGGTAGCAGAAAATGTCGGGGTCTCGTCGCACAGCAAGCGCCCTCTTGGCCTTCGCCTCCGCTTCGCCATGCCGCTCAGCTTCTTTTGTGCCCTGCCCTTTACCGTAAGGACGAAATGAACCCTAAAAGGCTTTAAGGTTCATATTACCATATAGGGCTTTATAGTATAAGGGTATCGGGCCCCTACTTTTATGGGTCATTTGGTCCATAAGGTAGGACAGCCTCCTCCGACCGTCTCCAAGACTTGAGCCTAGTTGGTGGTCGGTCGCTCTTCTTGGAAGACGTGATCGGAAGTCAAGCCCTCACGCCGCTCCATCAGACGTTTGGATCGGAACGCATAAGATCGGGATTCTGAAACTTGAGCCCCTGCCTCTCTCTCCCTCTCTCTCTCCCTCTCTCTCTCTCTCTCTCTCTCACTCTCTCACTCTCCTTCTGCATCAGGTGATGCAAGATTTCTCGAGCCGCTCCCTGCAGGATGTACTCATCGCGGACAAACCGATGGTGAAGCTGAAAACTTGAGAGAGCAACGCAGGGCCTCTTCTTGGGGCTCACGTGTCTCGCAGCAGACGTGCTCATTCTTGAGTTTCCACGTGCCATAGTGCTGCTCGCCCTGCGATGACCTGTCGGGCTTCTGAAGTTGCGGTAGCATGGACGTCCGAGTGCAGCCGAGGCACCACGCATCAAAGGTTCTCGTCCAGGCCAGCCTGGCACCCAAAGCCCGGAGTGCCACAAAGGGCAATCACACAGATGTGCAATCTGCTGCGCTTTCCCGGGCCTGTAGGTTCCGTCGCGGAAAAACTGAAAATTGAACCCAACACTTTCCTGCCAGAAGCATAGACTTTGAGAGTGATTTGCGCTGCACTTTCAGGTGTCTGCGCCTCGAAGTCTTCGCCCAAGGGGCGAACAACATGGTAGCCTGGAGAACTCTCAACAAGGGTCCTCCTACAGCACGGTGCTGCATTAAAGCATCCACAACCTGTATGGTTTTTGGGACCTGTGTCCGAAAGAATAAACGACCCGACTATGTACACACACATATATATATATACTTATATATGTGGGTTCCACAATCTTGTGGCCTACGGCAGCGGCCAAAATCACGAGGTGCGGCTCAGGGGCAATATGTCAGCTCGTCCTGATCTTTCAAGCGTTGATGAAAGCCTTGCAGGGGGGTCTCTTGTATTGAACGACACAGGCATATAATGCACCAGTACAACTAAGACAAGCAGTAGAACACTGTAGCAGTAACATCACCCATGTCAGGAGAAAAACGATGAGCCACAATTCGTGTCAGCTCGTCGTTCGCAACAATTGAAAACGAGGCGATGGCAGTCCCTAAACTATGAGGCTCGCACGGATGCAAGCATCGAGCTTCAAGCTGTCGTAGAGGAAGTGCTTCCAGGGTTTACAACTCACGCAGGCCTTCGGCTCGGTTGCATACCTCGGAGAAAGCTCCGGAAGCTGTTCAGAAGTGGCTCCTTTAAGGTAGCTGCTTCGGGCGCAATGCTAAGCCCTAATTAGCCGCTAAACTGCTTCAACCCTCAGTCCTACAACCCTATACACCCGAAACGCTTAGCAACAAGCCCGGTGACAAGAATTTGGACAAACACTCGGTCGAAAGAGTTGTCTCGCTTGCTTAGATTAGGGTTTAGGATTCAGTGTTGTCTATTGTGCATTGCTGTGTTGATGCTTACACTGATGTCCGTGCACTGTTGTGCACTGCTGCTCTTATCGGTGCACAAGAAGCCTTGCAACGCTTCCATGCCGCCCGGCTTAAGGACAACAAGAAGCACATCCTCTAGATTCGAGGCCGAAGCGGCCGGCATGTCTCATGTGCAAAGCTGCAGCACTCAATTCAGGAAGCTCTGGGTGCTGGCCAGGTTGCTCCAAGATTCTGGCCTCAGGTGGAAAGGCGACTGATGTGGCCTTACATGGGCTTAAAAGCCAAAAAGTACTCAAATAGGAACCCTCTGATTGAAGGACAAAGTATATACTATAGGTACATGGGCTCTTGCGGTTGTATGACAAGAAAAGCTTCTGTCCTAATGTGGCTTCTGTGGTTGCCTTCTGTGACGTGACGAATATCACGTGTTATTGAGGCCAGAGCCAGCCGTGTTCTTCATGCTCGTTGTGCAGCTCTACAATCACGATCATGATGGCTCACCGTGTGGCTAGAGCATGGTTTATCATAGCTGGTTCCATTTAACCATGGCTGTTGATTGGTTGCGCTCACTACGGTTTGCTACCAATACCATTACTGCCCTTGTTACTATTCTTGCGATGAACTCACTTTGCCGCGATGATCACGATGATCAGGGCTCTTTGTTTGTCACGGATTTTCAATGCTTCCCTTAGTGATGGCGTTCCGGACACTGAAGAAACTGAGACCGCCGCGTGAAGATCCTGAGGCGGGCGTTCAATATGGGGTTGAGGGCTTTTGTGGCTTTAGGGCGCTTTGCAGATCATTTTCTGACTAGAACTTCAGGGAGTTATGGACGCGGGGTTCAACGACAGCTTCGGCAATAAGCCAAAGAAGGCTGGGCGCTTCATTTTCAGGACTTTCAGGGCCCGCAGGCGGAAGTTTTAGAGAAAAAGGTACGCGAATATATGAGATCTTGATTGTAACGCCCGAGGAAAAGACCCCCATGTGGGACCAATGGATCTTCAAGTTCAGAGGTTTGGGGTATAGGCCGTAACCTTTCGGCTTTAGGGCTTAGGGCTTTAGGGCTTAGGATTGAGGGTTTACGGATACGAAAACCTCTAAAGTTCAGGAGATCGGGAGCAGTGAGAACACAAAAAGCACACCGAAGAACAGGTCCACAGAGACTCCACCACCGAGAAATTCAGAGAAGTACTACTATTAATTCTCATCAGTACTAGTCTTGTTGTTCATTTGTACTTCTGTTGCAGTCATCATTGTCGTCATTTGTAGTTGTAGTCGTAGTCTCTTTCGAGCCTCGTTGAGCTCAGGCGGCCCCATGGCTTTCCCCATGGCTTTGCGCGTACGGAAAACTACAGAGCTCGGGGAGCCAAGCGCGAGCCGAAACGCCAAAAGGCAGGCACAAATGACTCAGGTCGATATCCTGCAACAAACGGTTCTTTTTTGGCGGTTTGGGGTTTGTACGGAGTTCAGTTCGGGGATGAATTAGGGTTCCGATCTTTGCCACAGATGATCATGTACCCTGTTATTAACGAGGGTTCTGAGCGGAAGTGGTGTACGACAGTCGGAGTTTGAGGCACTGGCACTTCGGGTTAAAGTGCTTGCAGTTGCAAGGTCAAGTCCGAGACAGCCCCCCAAGTCCTACATCATGAAGTGTATGTATGTATGTATGTATGTATGTATGTATGTATGTATACATATATATATATATATATATATATATGTGGCCGGCCTGAAGTACTCAACGCTGCACAGCCTGAAGCTTGCATCTTGAGCTGTGCTCGTAATGCTCAGAGCAAAACTCGAAAGTTTTTGCATTGGTGCTCATACCGACCTTTGTCGGATTCCCGTTTCTGCTTGTTGCGCAAGCTTTGTATGAATCCAGCAACCCCGAATGCTAAAGCCTGAATCTGAATCCCGATTTAATTGAGGGGGGACCTGAGCCACGAATGGTGTTGGGATAGCCCTGCACCGTCCCGAAACTCAACCGAATTCGGATCCGAAACAGCACCTTAAAGAGCTTGAAGCCACCCTCATCGATCTCCTCAGCAGCCGAAAGATCTGCCAGAGTCTTTAATGAAAATACTTTACTACTTCAGTTAATGTTTCAGGATTTACGTAGGCTTCGGGAGGGGCATGTGACAAAGCCGGCTGCCAGCTTGTCGATGACTATGCAGATGGTGTTAACAAGACGGCTATGAAGTGTGACGATCCAAGCCTCGGTCTATAGCTGGCCGGCACGCGAACTGCTCTGCATGTGATTCACTGCCCAAAACTGGAGAAAACACGGAACCTCAGTTCTGAAAGCTCGCCTAGACTTGTACATTTGGAGCTTTTGTAGGTGCGGGGATACATAGGGCTCGCTTTGGGATTTCCGAGCCTCGGATCGAGACCCTCCAAGAGCTCTGAGCCTGCTGCCATGCCGAAGAATGTCTGCAAACCGACATGGTGCCAAGGCCTGCTAAAGGAGGAGAGGTATTGGGGTTCAGGGCTTTCAGGTCCGGTTTGGAGTTTCGGGTTCAGGAGGCTTTCGAGGGGCGTCCTTGTTTCTGCTAGGTTGGAACCGACATATACTGCCCTGCCTCAATCTTTGAACAATGGAGAAACCCGCAGCTTCCAGGCGCCGAACCAGAGGTGGCCCTCTCTGGGTATAGTCAAAGAGCTCTTGACCCTTATCATGCCCTCGGCTTAAGGCCTAAAATCCTGCAGCCTGAAACCTGCAAAGACCTTTGCCCACCCACCCTTCAACGCTGGAAGCTGGGCCACGCGCCCTTCTTGTACATTGTTCAGCCGCCGGAGCAGCCTCCGAAGCAACGTGGCTGCAGGAAAGCCCGCGCCGTGGCAGCATCAGAAGCAGAGGCGGCAGCAAACGTCGGCAGCAGCGATGGTGAAGGGAGAAAGGGAAACAGAGGGCACTACAGAAGGAATCTTATTATTACTTCGAGGAAACCAGAACAAAACAGCAACAATCGTGCTGATGGTGGTGGTGGTGGTGGTGCTGGTGGTGGTGGTGGTGGCGGTGGTGGAATGGTGGTTGTTGTGGATGCAGCAGCAGCAGCAGCAGCAGCAGCAGCAGCAGCAGCAGTAGCAGCAGCAGCAGCAGCAGCAGCAGCAGCAGCAGCAGCAGTTGTCGTTATCGCTGTCGCTGTCTGTGTTGCTGTGATTCTTATTGCTGCTGTTGTTACTACTACCAGTTTCATGTTTCTTGTTATAATTGCGGTTGCGGCTGTGGTTGCGGATGTACTTGTGGTGGTCGTGTTCGTTCCCGACAGCCCCTATGCAGTTGTGCCAGCACTACTACATTGACGCCCAAAACTCAAGTCTCTAGCGATTCAGGTTTAGGAAGAACGGAACATCCTGAACCCTAATTAAGGCAGAAGACAGCAGAGGTGAAGGATTGAACGAATCGGGGCAAGCACTTTGCTCTCGCCTGCATGCTCTGTCCATCCGCCCCAAAGAGCGCGTGTCCAAGAACTCAGCATCCCGACGTTCAGTGCAAGGCACATCCGTGGGCATAAGGGATACTTCTGACGCTGCTCAGGTTGAGTACGACGAGAAAGAAGTCCTACGGTCAGACATCTTTCTATTTACAGCGGCGACAAAGCCTTATCTAAAAAAAATGCTGGTGTTACATGCACTACTTGGTTTAGCAGTTCAGACCTTTTCGTCAAGTTTGGAGGGCACCTCAGAACTGCGGAGAGGGGCTCGGAGGTGGATCCACAGCACGGGCTACTTTGCAGCCCTGATCCCCGTCCTCGTTATTATTGGTATTAATCTATTTATTTTAGTACCGCTATACAATTAAACTATGTATTCATACCATGTTTGGCAATACTGTGCTTGCTATTGTTATGACAATCAACACTATGACCATTGTGACGCTCATAGTTCTTCCCAGAGAACCCAATACCCCTTAATTAAGGAATCGACCTTAAATCATAATATTAAGGCCCCCAATAGTTTAAGGTATATTCCTTAATTAAGGGGTAGTGGGTTCTCTGGGTTCTTCTTGTGGCTAGTATGAACGCGACGAAGAATGAGGCCCAGGCTGCAGCTATGCCCCAGTAAGGGCCGAAGGACAAGGGTGTCAATGCGCCTGCTCAAATCCCTTAAGGTTTTGGGTTTTTAGGGTTTAGGGCTTTGGCGGTTTAAGGTTTTTGGTGTTTAGGGTTTTTAGGATTTTTGGTTTTGAGGGTTTTCGGTTTTTAGGGTTTTTGGGGCGTAGGGAAGCTGTTTCGGTGATGTTAGGAGTTCTGCATAGCGGGGGTTGCAGAGGTTTCATGGTCCAGAAGCTCAAAACCCTGCATTCCCAAACCCTGAACCCTAAACCCCTTTCCGAGGCTTCCGCCCACCCTAAACCCTAAACCCGTGAACCCTGAACCCTAAACCTAAACTCAAAAAAGCCTAGACCCTAAACCCTAAACTCCTACACCCTAAACAAAAACTCAAAAAGCCCTAAACCCTAAACCCTAAACCCGAAACCCCAAACCCTCTTCCGGCACCTGCATCAACGGCTTCTGTGGGACAAGGCCGGCCTCGGATTGGGCCGAGCTCTGATGGCAATTTTGGGGCCTTTAAAGGGTTACTATAAGGGTT